AGCAGGAAGGAAAAACAGTCTGTGGAGCCAGCAAGCTTTTGTCAGACAATTGTATCCATCTGGAACCATTTTCTCCCCAAGAGCTGGGTTTATTTTCACATCCTCATGCAAATAGGACTGGAATGCAGACAAAGCCTGCACTGCAGACAAAGCAATTTCTCTGAGAGTTTTAGAAGGAAATAACAAACAGTGATTAAGACTTTAATTTGTATGTGTAGGAAACAGTGAAAGACCAGTGACTCAGTTTATAGCATGAGAATACAGGAGTTAATTCTTCAAGCTGCAAGGTAGTGAAAAGCTGCTAAAAAGAGCAGTTTCTCCAATACCCATAGAAATCATCGCTCAGTACAAAGTGACAGGAGAAATCAAATGTGGGTCTTCTATACCAGGCCCTAAGAATTATTGTTCATCGAGCTTCTTTGTTTCACATATTTCCTTGGGGAAATTTTCTGTATTCCCACAGCTAAATACAGATTTTTACTGGGAGTTGTTTTTTTAACATAAGTTGAAGAGTTCACATGAGAAAAGTTGTAGGTCTCCCTATAATCATAATCAAAGCATGGGAAATCACTTCCAGTTCATATGGGCCTCTGAAACCTAGAAGATTTGTTCCACACTTGATTTTATTCCACTCCTTGAGAACAAGTCTTTTTTTTTTTTTTTTTTTGCAAGTGGTACATATTGCAGTGGAGCAGGTGGGTAAAACCATTGGCTGGGCCAACTGCACTAGGCATGAAAATGTTGTGTTCACACCTCTGCTCTCCTTAGAGCAGAACATCCCACAATAACAATTTCAAGCACATTTTTCCACTCTCAGCCCTTGCTCTAATCCTGGAAGTAGCACTTCTTTTAAAATGTTCTTAACACAATTTTGTCAAACTCTGAAGTTGCTACAAAAAAAAACCTTTGAGTGATGCTGGAAAAGCATATTTCAGTAAACGTAAAGTTCTCTAAAAATACAACTATTTCTAATCAGTGTGTAGATGAACTGGGCTCTATTCCAGGGCCAACACGGACCCTGCCAGCACACATACTATTTCTTCTTTCCCATGCACTCTCTTCCCAGCGTATTGACAGGACTGGGCAAGAAGGTAATTTTACATCCATTTTGGAATTACGGTGATTTTCCACTACAAAGGGCTAATTCATAAAAGTTAAAAAAAAAAAAGTTCAAAGGAATAGCATAGATTTCAGTGAATCTCCTGGTAAAATAACTAGGGAATGCTTTTTAAATTTAAGACCACCTTTTACATTCCAGTTAGCTCATGCAGTTGTTGGTTTGTTTTTTTTTTTTTTTGTTTTGTTTTGTTTTTTTTAAATTAAAAATAAGTTTGAAAATAAACTGTGACTTAGATGTGTCAAAAGATTGATTGATCTGGGACAAAAGTTACCCTATTCTGCTTTGTAGTTTCTCACAATTCAGAATTGTGTCTTAATGCTAATTCCTGCAGGGAAATTTTATTTAATGCTTTCATGTGATAGAAAACCATTTACCATCTAGTGATTGCAATATTTTATTCTCCCTATGTGCTTTTCCCTTTGTGTGACAGAATTCAATGAGGAATCCCAGTACACTACATGCCAGGTGTTTATAGTTTTGCAATGAACTCATTGATATTCAATACTCAACATCACTTGATTGATCATCTGGACATCTCTTACATTTTTCTTGACACGCAGTCTTACAGTTTGTGTAGTTGGTCTGATCTGAGATCATCTGTCCCTGACCTGCCATTGCCATGGTGCCGGACATGTTTCTGCATCTGCTGGTATCCAAGTTCCATTTGTTATAAAACAGAATGAGGAGGCAGCCAGGCTCTATAAAGTATAAGCCAACTTTTCTTGTGCATTTTACCTTTCACCGTAAAAATCAGCCAGCTTTTGCCTTCCTGAGAAGGAGACATCTAAATGAGCCCTATTGAGAAGCCTCAATCTTGATGTCTTCTGCTTCCCTTTGGCCCCCATATGGGCACCCTATTAACACTAATGCCAGGCACCGAATGCAAACTGGGATGAGATGCCCACAGTAGGGTCCCAGAAGTGGTGGGCCTTCCATACAACGTGCGGTCCCTGTGTCAAACGCTCTTCATTTAAACAACATTTTCACCTGGGCCTTTTTAACCTGAAACTCATTTCTTTTGTTTTCCCAGGTTTTAGGCTGGTGTGTGATAGTTACCACAGCTCTTCTCTCCCTGCTAACCACTTGCTGTGCCAGCTGCCAGTCAAAAGTCAGCCACCTCCAGCTGATGTTCTGGAGGGCGTATACAGAGAAGGAGAAGGAGCAACTGGAGCAGATTTTCCAGCTGTATGCCACCAAGCTGAGTGAGCGAAACCTGAAGTGTTTTTTTGAGAACAAGGAACCAGAAGCAATTCCCCTGCCAGCTTTTCAGGCATGGGAAGATGCTTCCCAGCTCTACTCTTTCAGCAGCAGCAAACAGTATTACAGCACAATTCACAGGCTAGTTGAAGAAGGCCACAAAGAAATCAATGAGGAAAGAGAGACAATGCTGGACTTTGTAGACAGAAGAGAGATACCATAGATCAATCATATTTTCAGCTTTTCAATCTTGGTAATATAGCATACTTCTAGCTGGTTTCGCCTCTATTTTTTTTGCAATGGCCTCTTTCTTTTCCATCACATTTCCTCCTAGTTACAAACCTGGGTGGAATGAAATTATTTCCTACATCAGTGAAAAGGCTGCAGGCCTCCATAGCACCCAGGGTTCATGCTCTACTAATGTTTCTGGCTCCAGATCAAGAGCTGGTAGCAAAAAGAGATGAATAATGACTTCTGCAAGAGGGTTTTAACAACATCCTATGTAAAAAGCCCTATAATATGTTCATCTTATGTAAATTAGGATACCACCATAAAGGTAACACCATTTAAAAGGTGTGAATATGATGTGTAGCTTTCTGACAGCCTACAGAAGGTAAAGGTTTTGCTTTCCAGGTTATTTTCAGGCCATTTGCAGGTACAGCATTGTTTTGAGGCACCAATGGTCACTCAAGGTATCTCCTTGATGACCATCTCCATCAACTCCTGTTGCACCTAGAACACCACAGATGGTCACAGTGATTAGCCCTGGTCTTCCAGTCCCTGAGTCATCTGCCTGGGACACAGAGCAATGACCTCCACTGATAGTGAGGTGGCAGGTAATTTTTTAGACGAATCTTACAGCTGAAGCGTAGAGTACCAAGAATTTGAAATTACCAAACTGTCTGCCATTTTTGTGGTTTTGTTAAAAAATAACATGTTATTTTAAAATATAGTCCACTGTTATTGGTGCTTTGCTACAATAATGAAAATGCAACACTGATATTTTGCTGCCATGGAGTACTTGGTATTATCTTCTCCCACCAAGAATTTCTCTTTGTATGGATATAAAGCTCCTGTTTTGAGATGGTTTCAGGCACTTGGTGGAGCTGGTAGAGCGATGTAAAATACTGTTTGTGTTGGGCCTGCACCCAGTGTACAACAGAGGGCCTGGAAGGAAATTCCACATTCTAAGACGAGAAAATGCTTTTGCAACAGGCTGATTTTCAGGTTTCTGACTGTCACAGGAATCTTACTGTCTGGAGCAACAGGAACTAGCAGGCAACACAGGTGAGGTGACTGCACAACCAGAGCTTCTGCCAAATGCATTCTACCCCAAAGCCAGGTGCTTTACCTCACCCGCTTGGAATTCACCACGTGGCTCTCTCACTGACTGTCCAGAGTCTTTGCAAACACTGTATAAACGGAGAACAAAGTTTCTACCAAGTTTCTTTCCCTGGGGTGACTGGGCTGGATTTTACGCAGCATTTTATTACCAGTCTCCCCGAGTTTGCAAAGAATGGTATTTTTGCTCTGCTTAAATCAGGCTCTCATCAACAAACCTGGGTGCTCTGTCCAGCTCTTCTCAGACTCAGTGTGCTTCTTCAGCAGAAGAAAACAGCTATCTGCATTTAGAGGCCATTACTCTTTTTAAAAATAAAATCCAAGAGCTAATTCCACTGTCTGCTTAGAATTTTCTCTGATTTAAGAACTTGTGGTGTATGTGCAAATGTTTTGAAGTTTTTTACCCTAGGAGACTGTCCTGGTTCCGTGTAAAAAGGAGTTCAGGGCAGGACCCACACGGAACAGAACTCCCCCCCCCCCCGAGAGAGAGAGAGACACTTTTGAAAAAAAAAAAGAAGTATATTGTTCAACAAGGAACAGAAAATGAAAAAAGGAGGTAAGGAAAATAATAGATTAGGGGAATAATACAAAAGATAAAATATACAAAACCCTCAGAAATGGTTCCAGGGTCCCACGGAGTGAAAGGAGAACTTTCCTCTCCGATATCCAAGGCAGGAGTGAAATGAGAAACCACTCCCTGCCTCTTATCAGAGTGTGTGTGGGAAGGGGAGGGAATACAATGGTTTCACCCCCACCCGGGGTCCTCCCAGTTGCTGGAAGGTCACGACCCCATTCCAAGCCTCAAACCACAACAGAGACCCACTTTGCAGCAGACTTAGAACACGTTATATGCCTAAATGCACCTGCTGCAGCTGAATGCACAGTGACTACACTGCCAAAACCAAAATGACAACAGCAGGCTTGTCTGACACCATGTCTGGTGCATATGCATTTTTTCTCCCTGGGCTCCTCTTCTCATATAACAGCTATCTAATTCCAGAGTACACATCCCTTCCCATTTTTTTTTTTTTTTTTGACATCTCTTTTTATGAGAGATGTCTCAACATTCCCTGCCCAGCCCCAACTCACCTCCTCCCTATGGGCAATAACAGAGGAGACACCACCTAACAGGATGTCCCCACTGCCTGGGCCAAACTTTCTCATCCCAAAGCCATCTTTCCACCTCCTTCTTCACTGGTACCACAAAAAAAAACAAAGCAAGTAGAGATGCAAAGGGGAGGACACCAAGTATATTAATGAGCTGATAAAGGAAAATGGGAAACAAGTGGGTTGATGTAAGGATGAGGTCTCCACTTTGATACAGGAGCAGAGATGCAGAGGTAAAAGCATAGCTGGCAGAGGGAAAGGTGGGAGGAGATGTGGCATCCTTTTGGCACCCTGTTTTTCCTCAGGAGAAAGCTCAAAGCTCCTGAGTCCTCAAAAATCCCAAGTAGCCAGGACCACTTGAAACAGGATTGTTTCCCAGCCTGGCCTTCTGCTTTATCATGGAGGGGCAAAGACAAGGTGCATTCTCCTCTTCTCATCCTTACCCTGCTCCATGTTCACAGGTAACTCATGCTGAGAGTGCCTCCACCTCCAAGAGCAGCTGCTGAACACTCAGTGCTGCAACACGTGCCTGTTAGGAGCCTAAGTCTCTCAGGGACCCTCATTCCCAGGGCTGTGTAACTTGGTGTTGTCTTACCAAAATGCCTTTGACTTAATGCAATTGGCATGTGGATGCTGGGATACATCTATAAAAACAGGCAAATTTAACCCTATCTTTTAAGCAGCTATAACAAAAGCTGTTTTGTTATCAACATTGTCCCTGAATTAAATGTCAGCAACTACCATGGCAGCTCAGAAAGAGGCAAAGACTATCAAAATAAACTGGAAAAACTAAAGTGTCAGAATCAGCATTTTCTCTTGGAAAGTTCAGATTTTGCATTAACTCCAATGTCCATCAAAATATGAGTGCCCAAATAAACAGAAAAATTCTGCTAATTTCTCTGTGCTTTGTCCCTTAGTTTACTATTTCTTCTTCTCTGTGAGAACACAGTTTTCTTATTTAATTTCTCTCGCCTCTTCTTCCACTACACAACTGCTGCTCCATTAGACTTCAAGCTGTTGTTACAGGAACAAAAGCTACTTAACCATGATAGCCCCCCCATATGCTTTCAATTTTGTTTCAGCTGTACTTTGCATTACTGTGTGATGAATCTGTCCAACTTCTATTGTTAGAATTTCCTGTGTAAAGAGAACTTCCATGGAAACTATGCAAAACCAGTAGCTGGTTTGCAGTGCAGCACCAAATGATGGCAAAATTGCAAAGCTATAAAGTGAGAAATGTAAAAAAGTCTCAGCAGAAAAAATAAAGTACATAGATCAGTAGTTCAATGAATAGACAGGAACATTTCTTTTTTTTAAACCAGGCTGTGACTGGACAGAAATTCCATTAGAACTAGCGTAGTGTGCACAACTTCTCAGAGGGTAAACCAAAGGTCTTCTCAGTCTTTGTGACTCCAAAAAACAGAGAAGTAAAATGAATGTGCAGTTTTGAAAGTTGCAGCCATAAATCTGTCTCATTTCTATCTACATGAGATTGAAGAAAATATCTATTTTGATAAAGAGTATCTGTTTAGAAAAAAAAATAGCTATAGGCTCACTATCAAAATTACACCCATATAAAGCAAAATCTCTCTTTTGAAAGTGTTATTTGCAATTCTATGGGACAATATATAGTTTAATGCCAAACAAGAAATCTATGCAGTCAGAATTAAAAATGTACCACTGCCCTTTATCAAAGTTTCAATCGGCATCTCTCTTAAGCAGCAAGAATAAAATTCATTAGTATTTTGGTGATGCCCAAATACAGTCTAGAATTACTGAAATATTTAGGACAATAACTTTATATACTGTTGGGCAGTTTTCACTACAAAACATTGTATGCATAAGTAACATTGCAAAGTAAGTGATAACAGTCTTTCAAAAGTTGCAACCATAATTCCAGATGACATAACATCAAGAATGGCTCAATGGTTGGACTTGATGATCTTGGAGGTCCCTTCCAACCTAAATGATTCTATGATTCTATGATTCTATGATTAATGAAGGACCAGAATTAATCTGCCAGAAGGGGAAGGGCGGCCAAGGTACCATTTTGCTAGTGTACTTTTCATTCTTGGTACTTGTCCACTGCCAGTGTTTGGGAAGAGCAAGGTGCTTTAAAGTCTTACCATCTGTTTGCAATTCCATGTGCTCACAAACTTTTCTTTACAATGCAGCACTTTATTTTTCAGTTTATTACTAGTCTACTACTTAGCAGAGCAACTTGCTGCATGCATTTCCCTCTCACTGCTGAGATCTGAAAATTAAAAAATTAAAAAAAGCTTTGTAAATTCTGCCAGCCTCTGTCTGACTTTCAAACTGGCCATATGTCAATATATAAGAACCTTGTGTGGTAAGACCTCCCATGGGAAGGAGAATCACATCTCTTGTCCTACAACTTGAGGGTGACATGGTTGGATTACGCCAGCCCTGGTGGCACCCAAGGGCCTCTCTAAAAGCAGCAACAGAAACATACTTCTGCTGCATTCGTGGGGCACTGAGCTTCCACCATAAAGCCCATCTCTCCAGCTACTGTCTTCAGAAGGGGATATATCCTTAAGCTCAGCACTGCGTTAACACAGCTGTGGAGCCTGTGAGCCAGCACTAGCTCACTGTGGACCAGAGGGCATGGCCTGGCTGCTCCTCCTGGGGCATAGTGACATTGTTCCAGTATTAGAGCTAAAACAAGAAGCTGGGTGGGTTTTTTGGGAGGTTTGTTTGAGTTTTATCCCTTTTGATCAGATCAATGATGTCAAGGTCTTAGGAAGAGGAACTGAAGTAAAAAAATTAAATTTGTAGTGTTAGAGAACAAAGTTATCATCTTCAGTTCAAAAGTAATCCTGTTATACTCAAGATCCAAATCCTGAATCCAGTCTTGGACTTTACTTCTTCACCTGAGCTTTGTTCTTAATACCATTCCTCATTTGCTTTCCACTTTCTTACTCCAATTTGCTGGTAAGCAGAAAGCCTACTTTTACATGGCCTGTTCCATCCTTTTTTATTCAATCCCAGCTGTAACCACACAAAGTCACAGCACCAGCACGAGAAGTCAGTGAGCACCATGGGAACTTGGTGTAGAAGAACTCGCTCTGGCTCAGCATCAAAACTTGTTGGCCCTTCTCCAGTCCAGTATAAGCTAGCACTAAGTCCCAAGCTTTGCAGTCTGAACCTGTGGCTGAAGTTTTAAGCCCTCAGTCACTGCCTTAGGTGCACCTTTCCTCGTGGTATTTATTCCTTAGTATGGCAAGCTGGCTTTGTACTCTTCATTTTATGTATTTTTTCCTTTGCTTCATGTCTTTGCATTTTCACAGGGAACACCCACAGCCTGATCTTACAAGCTTCTTTGCTTTCCTAAGCACTGCAAGGTAATAGCTACATTTAAAGGACATTTGGCTCCAACTACTCAAACTGCTTAACTTCCTTAATTACTTTAATTTTGAACTGGTTTTACTCCACACACTCATCTTCAGACAGATTTCTGCCTCAGAAGAGTTAGTGCAGTTAAGTATTTAAGCACTTTCTCCCAGCTGAGAACACCACTGCAGAAGAGTTAAATACATCATGTAAATCCTGTGTAATCCTGAACTGGTGACTGGAAGAGCACATTTGCAATTACTTGCTGGGTCATTTTACGTAAGTTTTGTTGGTTTTTGCTTCAGCTAAATATGTCTAAAGACTATTTAAAAAATGTTTTGCTAGAGAAATGTGAAAATGCCTTCCATATCATGTTTTGCCTCAGAAAGGTTATACTCCTACTACAGAACTCCTCTGTCAGTTTGCTAAAAATAGCCTTTCCAAGAGACTGTGTGCTTCCTAGTTTGTTCCAAATTTTCCAGTCTTTCCAGGAGCCTACATTTAGCCCATATCTGGACTAAGCTATTGCAGTTGCTCTATTATGCAGTGACCCCTCCCCAGACAAAGAAGGGGGATCAGGAAAAGGAGAGAAGACCCATGGGTCAAAATGAAAACAGATTCAATGAAATGGCAAAACTAATATGATGCTAATACATAGTTTACAAAGTTATACTCAGCCCAGTGAATGTGCAGCAGCCAAAACAAACAGAAAGGCAGTCCTCAGAAGCAGAACAGTAAGGAAGCCCCTCCAGGGATAGTAGCCCACAAGAGGGGAAAGCAGACTTCCACCTTTATAATGAGCGTGATGTTTATGGGCTGGGATAGAGCTGTAGCCAACTCAGGCCAGCTGCCCTGGCTGGCTCCAAACTGTTCATGGCCTGCAGATTATGGCTGGACTATGATTCAGTCCCAGTGAAACCAGTACACCAAATAATTTTATTCCTCTCAGTAAGTCTTTTTTGAAGTACGACCTGCAGAGAAACAGTGTCTTTTTCTTTACTTTGGTGGTTAATTTGTCACTCTATTTTGCTGTTTAAAACCCTGTACTTAAGAATGATGGTTTAACTGTATTAAAACATTTGTAAATTAGGAACTATGAGGAATAAGACCCAGAAAACCAGATACCTGGCATATATGTGAAAATCTAGAGAAAATAAAGTACAACTATCACCTGAAGAAGTACATAAACATGAATAAAAATGTGATTTTGCAGCCTGATATCAGTCTTTTAATGAGGCAGTGTATTTTAATACAATGATTGAAATGCTGCTTGTCTCATGGTTTTCATTCAGCTGCCCTCACTGTCTCTAATGGATCCTCCACCCCAGCTCGGCTCCTTCAAAGGAGGAGCTTTGTTATACATCATCCTGATTTGAGACTCCAAAATGCACTTTACTTCAGGAATATAATTGGTTTCTACTCTGTTACAAGCTAATGGGATCTGGCTGGCTTTTAGGAGTGTCATCTGCCTCAGCTTTAACCTTTGGCAGATATGGTGTACGTGTGTGTTGTGCACACGTGCACTTCACAGCCCTGCCAGCAACAGCAAATGCAAAGAGGCCCTTTCTCTATTTCTGTGACAGCCATCAGTTCCTCTGTGACAAGCATTTTGGAATTATAACATCTATCCTGCCACTTCAGTCAGATGGAACACAGGGGTTTCTGACATGGTTCATGTGAGCAGGATCACATATCAGCTGATAACATCCACACACAGGTTGAACTAAGATACTCCTGTATAACCAGCATGTACTGTATATGTATATACTGTGAACATAGTTCACTGTATGGAAAGCTGTTCTTTCCTAGTTCTGCAGTCAGCAGTTAAACATAATGCTCACATTTAGCTGATGCTGCTGGTAAGTCTCAAGCAACCCAAAAGTATGCCAGGCATATTTTTGTCTCCTAAAATAAGCCAATGGAAATAGTTCTCAGTTCAATTAACTGATGTCCTGATCTCTCTTCTTAAAACAAAAGGATTACCTAGTAAACAATTCTTTGTTATAAAGCCTAGTTAATTTTTGCCATTGGGAAAGGCCAGGCATATCTTCACTGGCAACACTTCATAGCTGAAAATCATAAAAGGGATCATTCACCATGACCTGAGAAGATACTAGTCTGAGCTAACTCAAAATCTATGAACTACCACCTCCTTTACAGTGACTCGGCAGTCTAAAGGGGCTGGATGTCCTATGGATTCTTCTTTGAGTTTCACCAGGAAATCTGACTTGCCCATGGGGGAAAAAATACATCTTTAGAAACACGTGTACTGCCACTGGATTACCTTCTAGATGTTTCTTGTCTGAGAGTGGTGTGAAAGACTACTCAATAAAAGGAAAATTTCCATTAAAGAACATGAAAATCCCCACTCTGATTTTATTTTTTTTATTATTAGATTTGTGGGTAGTCAGAAAAATGTTCCCCTCATTATCTATCCTTACAGTTCCTCTCTGGAAACACTGAGTCTTCCTTTTGCAGAAAATTCTGCAGCTTAGTCCTAATATTACCATTTTAAGGTTAAAAAACATCAGACATAATTATGATGATACTGAGTCGATTCAGATGGCAGGGGTAAGAATATAAATGTTTAAGATCTGGATGAGATGGTTAAGGTTTATGCTGCTAGAAAAAAAAAAAAAGTGAGGGAATATATGACTGGAAATTTGTTAAAACTGGATAATTTTTTGTGGTTTGCTGCATTCTCCAGCAAGAGTAGAAGACATCAGCTTAAGCTGCAGCAAAAAAAAAAGAAACTTTTTGATTCTTCTAATGGCAGAACACCTCATAGACTACTAGGAATAGAAGAATTTTAATTTCAGCTTAGCAACTGACTTTAAGGTCAGTTGAGGTTGGGGGTTGGCAGCCTCTTAGTCAGAGACTGGCAGCCTCATACAGGTGGTATCTCATCTCGTGTTCTCTGTCCTCAACTCAGATACAAAACCAATATCCCTTTGAACTTATTCCGTGGCTGTGACAACCCTTTGCAGTAAACTTTACACTGTGGCTTTATCAAGATCATCTGCAAAATTCGTATCTCATTAAGTATCACATTCTTTGTGTTCTGTTTGATGTGTGCTTTTCCCCAGTCTGATGTAGCACCCACATCTCCTCTAAGGGCCAGCCTCTGTGAGCTACTGTTTGATATGAAGTTGTGAATAAGGAAAAGGCTGTATTTCACCCGACGGAAGCATGGGTGTAGTTGTGGAGATGAGTGGATTTTGATAAGACAGTCATGATACAGCATAGAATGCAGGTAACTCTTCTGGAGCAAACTGATAGAGGAGGAGGGAAAAGCTAAGACCATTGAAGCTGAAGAAGCTCTAGAGAATGTAAATGTCCTTTACCTGTGCAATCATGTCTGCAGTTTCAGAATAACTGCGGCACTTCTTCACAGCTGAACGAGCTAAAAAATCATCAATCAGCCTTATGCCAATGCCATATCCCCTAAGGAGAAAACAAAGAAAGTTAACATTCCAAAGGAGGAACTTCTTACCACCTACCATCTCCCTAATCTGCCTCCTGTGCCTTCACAGCTGCACAAGCCTAAAAGAATGGCTTTGAGAACAACAGATTTTGCTGGTCTAGATTCTTCTTGCTACCACATTTTGCAGCACTGTGGGATTGCCGTTCTTGTAGTCATTTAAGAAATCATACTCCTTTAAGCATCATACTCCTGGCAAGGATGATATGAGTGTTGTTTATATACACATTGTCTACATATACATTTATATTGACATATATGAATAAATATTAGATGTTAGATATATAAGTATAATATATAAATACTATACAAATAGTACTGCTTTGTCACTAACAATAGGACAGGGTAACAGCACAGGATTTTTTCCATTCCTCTGTGATCCTCAGAGTTCCCCTCACATTGTCTCTGTCAAGGAGAACAAAGCAACTACCTCTTCAGGTCACAGCATTCACTTGTGGGCTGGTTCAGCAAATCCTGCGCACCCACCTGGCAGCATTCAGGTGCCAGGAAAACCCACAGGAAATGAACTCACATCTGAGCTCTTTCACTTTATCCGCTTATCTCTTCACCTCATTTTTCACGCTTCCTCCACAATTCCCTGTCTTTTTTTCTGACATGTTCTCTCCCTTCATCTACTAGTTGCAGAAAGAATCCAAAAGTTGCTAGTTAATATACAGTTTCAATACAACACCACCTTCAATTTGTATTTAAACTAATACAATTTCAGAGAACCAAACTAATAAAGGATGGAATTTTTTATAAAACAAATATTCATTCCTAGCTGTCACACATTAACAAAGGTTAGTAACAACATAGTGTGCAAAATAGCTATGCCTCCAACCATTTTTTTGAGAAAGGGCTAGAGATTGACACATGTTGTGAAAGAATGTGAACTCACCTCAGAAATGCTTTTAGGGAATTTTTTCTTTCCATTTATGTGGATGTTGGCAGTCTCTTGCCTATTTGACAGAGGCCCTACACACTTAGTGAAGCAGCCTGAACTTGATGGACTTTCATTCTGATTTTGTACCATGTCTTTGACAAGAAGCCCAAAAGTGATCTGATGTCTAATGTGATGAAAAGACCAAAATGTGGGTATGGCAGCATGAAGTTTAAAACTGCAGTATGTCATACATCAGAAAACAATGAAATTCTTATTTGTTGCCTAAGTAGCAATATCAGTAATGTTGGTAAATATGTCATCAGCTGTTAGCAATGTATTTTTTGGTGATGTGCATGACTACTTAGGTCCTTCTCAACTCTTTTTATGCCTTAGATTTGCAAAGTCAAATGAATAATAAATTGACAAGCAGCTATTTGGCAACTATACAACAAAAAACACCCTTCTCGCTACAGATTACAAATGTATGTATAGAGAGAGAGAGACCTAAGAATGCTGTTCCCAGCTGTCACAGGTCTGCTAATCTACAAAGTTTCTTCCCCAAGATGAGGTGTTTTCATCTTCACAGAAGTAAAGATAGCCATATTGCTTTAATTAAACTTGTCATTATTTTAAGTCTTTTGCTTTACCAAGAGAAAACCAAACAGATTTTCTAGTAACAGCTATAATGATAAAACCACAAGGAGCAGAATACGTCTGTACATCTTCCAAAACTAGCCTTTAATAATTTCTACCATAGCATCAGAAAGAAGTCTGTATGTTTTTAAAAGTATGATCTTCATCAGAGCTGAATGAGGGATTAATATCAAATAAATATCAAGGGGACGTTGTCCCTTCTTAGTGAATAAATTGTTTTTCTTTTTTGCAATCAACAATATGTTTACTCACTTCCACCGATAGCTATTGGGCTACATCTTGTTTGCAAGCTTTCAGATTAAAGCAGTTAATATTCTGTCCACTGTGACTGTTTGTAAATCCATTTTGCATGTCAGTTTTGCCTAAAAACACAAGCATTACTCGTCTGCCAAAGATCTTACTATATCTTCTTGTTAACCAGCTCAGAAGTTGTTTCTTGTTGATTTTCTGGGACGCTGTTTTTACTGTGATAATGCCTAGGAATCTCAGTCAGGATGACAGGATCCTGGAGACATAGGATCTTCATTTTCCAGAGAGGTTATCCATGTAAAAATCTGTTCCTCATTGTCAATTTGTGCTATGTCACTCATTGCTGTATAATCTTTTAAAGGTGGGAGGCCCATCTGCCCCTAACCCAGGGAGGAGGGAAGAGAGCCACCCCACAGGGGACAATTCAGTGAGCCCAAGTCAGACACCTGAATTACACCCTCAGGGAAGGTGACTGACTGCAAAAGGAGGCTGCCTATTGACTGAGCCATCTAAGCAAATCCCTACAGCCTGGAATTGTGACTACCTCTTAGCTGTCCAAGTCACAAAATCATGGTGTAACCAGATGAGGGGGAGCCTCAGGAAGACCACATTGACAGCTGAACACAGAAACGAATGCTAACTAGAAAATACCTCTGAGAAACAGAGAGCTTGTCTAGTTTGAAATAACATGGGTACGAAGAAACAGAAGAGGAGAGGTAACATGGAAGTAGAAATTGAACACATGGATACAGGAGATGAAATTCAGAAGCTTATTTGATTAATTACCATAACAAAAGACCAACACAGAACAAGTGTAAGCTATCAAAACAATCCTGACACCTCTGAGAATACAAAAGTTGTTGATCTTAATTCACAAATTAGCATTATTTCTGTTGACAGAATATTGAGCCTTACAGAGATTACAGAGATCCCTGTGATCTCTGTAATCCTAGGCAGAGTGCTGGAACTCATAAGGTAACATATAGGTGGACAAATAGCATCATAAATACAGTTGAACATTTAAAGCAGTACTTACATTCTATCTAAACAGGTGTTGACATCTTCATCTTTTTCATAGTCCTTGCACAGCTGGGCTACCAAAGCCCCGTATGTGATTACAAAAAGTTCTCTGCTCTGCCAGAAAAGGTGGAAATAGAAAATGAAGCAAACTGGAAAATAACTTTTTTACACTTTCGAGCTGCTACTGTGTTAAAAGCAAGCAAAAAATAACATTTACATTAACTGATAAACTGTTGTCTATGGGTGTAGAATCACTGAAATCCACAATTCAAGTGTGACAGAGTCTGACTTGGTCATCACTTGAGTCTCTGTGCAGGGATTTTGCTTATCAGAAATACCATTTTTTGGGATACAGCTATTTTCACCAGGTACATTCTTGCGTCCTGTAACAGCACATATGTATGTTGGATTGATAAATGCTGTCAAATGCCATCCAAGATTAATGGCAAGTGTTTAGCTCCAGGAAGAATAATCGAGGCAGTGAGCTATTAGTCTTCTTACAATAGGAACAACAGTATATACACTGAAATTCCAGTTTCTTCATAAAGGTGTGATTGATCTGATTTAGATCACCAGCTGCTTCCCCCCTCCCCCCCCAGAAAAAAATAGGCAAATAAATTAGCTTAGAGTAATGAAAAAGTACTGTAATTCACCACAAGTGTAAAGATTACAACAAGCAGAGTATGAAAGAATCGGTCCCATCGACATTTCCTTGTCTTTAAAATACTTTACTAGTAGCTTGTTTCCATGTCAATACTAGCTCTTCAAACGCCTGGACAATCTCACTGTGACATTATTTCTGTATCTTAGTGCAGAAGACATGTTTGTTGTGGCTCCACTGCATAAGCAAGGTGAATGGGATGGGTGAGGATTACAGCTGCTTGCTCAAGGAGCACAGAGAGCAACTGAGGAGGTCAAAGGCATATCCCTGCACAGATCTTGTCACAGGTACTAATCTGGGATCTTCAGCTGTGCACCTACCTGGAGGAAAGTCTTCTTCCCTCCCTACCCTGCCACATCACCTCAATGGTACTGCAGAATTGACTGTATTTAGCAGGAGTAGCAGATGGCCTAAATTTAGGCAGGAGACTAAGTTGATTCTCACTGAACTTCTTAGCCAGGAATTAATTAAAAAAAATGCTACAAGCCTGGGGCATGTGGGCAGACTAGACGTGCGTTTTGCTTACAGCTTGTGGAAAAATAATAGTGAATACCAATGGAAACAATAAGAACAAATCACAAAAGGAAGGGAAGAACAGCTTGGTGAAAAGACCTCTTTCTGTATCAACAGCTTGGAGTTTAATCAGTATTTCAACAAGATTCAAAATCTTTAGTAGTATGGGACCCTTTCCTAAACTTGCCTTGGTGATAACTCCTGTTTACAATAGTATTGAATGCTGGCAAATTCTCATTAACAAGTTTTTGATGGAGTAAATGGATGTCATACAGTTTCTGGAATGTTTTAGTCTCATCAAAAAGTCTGTGTTATAATAAGACAAATACCTTAGAGAAACTTGTGTACCATATCAACATAGTTGTAGCTATCAGACACTCTTGCAATCAGTTGGAGTGTTTTTTCAAACAAAATTATTTATATTACCTTTAATTATATTATAGTCTTCCTTTTTTTTTCAGTGGAGATCTCTGTGCCCTTTTCAGATATTGGCACAACATTGTCCTAAAGCCTTCTGGAACCTCTCCACTGCCTCAACTCCTAGAAAAAAATCACGATTAACCATCCAAACAGCCCTAAGGCTCTAAGATCCTGAGGAAAGACCTGTGTTCAGCTGAACCATCCAAAGGAAGAACAGAGATCTCTTTCTCTCTGCATTTCATTTAATGACTGTCTAACCACAGAGGCATGTAAACTTACTCTCTTTGACCATAAATTTCTCTAAGCACTTAGACATCTGGTTTTGAACAGATGCCAGTCTCAGAAACATTTTGCTCATCTTTTCTAAGCCTGTTCCGAAACTCAGCACTAGGGATGAAGTAAAAAAAATGCAGCTAAGTGCTTAGTGAGGGAGACAGTCATTTTGGTTTTGTTATCAGTCTTCTACAGCTGTCTGTTCTGTTTTCCTTACTAGCAACTTCCTCCCTCCTCAGTTATACATACGTATACATATGTATACTTATATATGTGTGTCATACTTTCAGACGCAAATATATTCTCTTTGAGACACAATACTGTTACTAGTTTTTTTTTTTAAATCACTGTGCCCTTATTTCTGCATTACAACACTGTTTTTTTGGACTTGTAAAATATTTCTAAACAGAAATTTTCAAACACAGACAGAGATTCTGAGGAAATTTGCTATCTGATTTTTTTTTTTTTTTATATATTTAGACACACCATTGCCAGAGAACAAGAAAGAGAATAAATGGTATATTTAGTGGCACAAAATACTGCTTTTTGTGACCATCCAGTTTAGAAAGGCCTCTTGGGAAAACCTTGCATGCACTTCATTTAAAACAACTGCTGGAGCTTTAGGAGAATATTACCATAAAGTGCAGAAAAAGAAGGAAGTTTGAGTCTATATAAATTCTATGTGATAGAATTCTGTGCTATGTGGTCAATACTCAAAACCAACATTCAGAAACACTGGCTACAGTTTTACCATTGTTTCCCCAAGGATCAGATTTTGGCCTTAAAGCCAGCCAAACGGACTCCAGGTCCTACAGGCACGCTTTTTTATGTCACTGCTCAATAGCTGGTAGCTTGTTGGAAGCACACAAGGGGGTCCCACTGTAGCTATAAAAGCTGCTAGCACCTCTGCTTTTATATTGGTAGACTCATTATTAATTAATAAATTATTAATTATTATTCATTAATCCCTGCATTACTTTCAGGCTATCTGGAAATATAGCTGTATAAAACACATCAGTACAAATAATAGGTTATTCTTACTCCATGCACAATTTTAATCAAACATTACAAAAATTTCTTACTATTTTGTGGTTCTCCTGCTTCCTCCCTGGTGGCCGAGACATGTTGCTTGTGTAAGGTCCGATGTACTTGATTGTCAGTTTGTCTTTTCTTCCTCAAGCAGCACTATTCTCTCTCAGTCACTGGATTTCCCTTTGCTAAAGTTTTCTCCTTTCTGCTCTTCTGCCTTTTGCGTGAGATGAGTTTGCTGCAATCTGTAATGCTGCTGATGCTCCTCCTATTATGTCTATTGAGCCCTTTGGGAGGAATTTGACTGGCAACAGATCTACTCTTGTACACAACAGAAATAATTGCTCTATCCTGTAAGAATTATTTCTTATTAAATACACAGCCATGGGAAGTCATACTGGGCACCCCCAAGAGATTCACAGGTCTTAGATTTCTAGAGAGAGCAAATTAATTCTGTTGTTTGTTTCATGTTTTTGTGTTTGGAGAGTAAACAGAAGCCCCCTCTCCGATGAATAAAAGCACAATTGCAAAATATTGCTGCACAAGGTAATTAAAAATTGATAATTTTCAACTTAAAGCAGCTAGAGTCTTCTGTCAGCTCTGTCTGCTCAGTCTGGGGGGTTAATGTTTGCGCAGGCAGGAGCAGTTAGAAGGTTACGTGGGTTAGGAGGGTTACAAGGTTCTACTGCCACCATGTTTCTGCAAAATAGGCAGGACAGAGCCAGAGCACCCAGACTCCCAGAGGAATAAACACTGTATGTGCTACAGCTGCCAGCTTCTGCAAATGGCATTAATAATGTTTCTAGGGGATTTTATATCATTCGTAATCTGTTATAACCCTTGTTTGTAAACATCCCTGCTATGAGCATCCAAGATGGTCCAGCTTACCTTTTGTATTTTCCCCTGAGGTAAATTTGGCCTATTCTGTTAGTTTGGATTTGCAGTAAGTTTACACTATGGTCAGTACCGAATTTAGAAGTTAATCAGGTAGCTGTCTTTCCTTATAGGACTTATCTCCACACATATTCCCACTGAGTTCTCAGCCTCATCTGAATGCCATGCTATCATTAAATGTCTGTTAATTAACAGATTTAGAGTAAAATGACAGGTACTCCAGATCACAGAAAACAGCAGATATGAATAATTTAGGATAAGAAGGATTCATTTGCTTTAAAAAATGGTAAAGTTGTGACACAATTTACAACAAAAAAATAGGACAGATAAAAGGATTTTCAGCTTTTTCTATGGAAAACAGCCATACTAACAGCTTTCATTTTACACAGAACAAGATGATGTTGACAACTTGGCTTTTAATAAGCCTCTTCCAGTTTTTAATAGGTACATTTCTGGCCCTGTAAAATCCAACTCCATTTTATAAGTGCAACTACTGTAAGTACTTCCCGTATCTAAATTTAAATAAATTATAAAAGCCAGTTTTTACAGTCCTCTAGATAGTTACTTGTGTTTTTAAACTGGATCTGAGATGGTTTTTTTTCTCAGTGTCTCCAACTGGTGACAAGCACCAAGTATGTTTCTCATTGGAAGAGACATCCCATATTCTATAAAAAAGTGTACTGCATTGCATTTAAAAAAACAGCTCTAGAAGATTATCATTAGCATAATTTAACTGCCATCACAAAGTACTTAAGGCTACCCATAAATGAGCACCATTTTATTTATCCAGTTTGGAATATAAGGATTAACTACTTCTGCCTGCATTATTAATAACATAATCATGAAAGAACATTGCAGACCAGGCAGTGCAATGCATGGTAAGAACATATTAGCAATGTCTGGAAAATACGTGTGTGCACATGTGTATACATGTAATATGTAATATATAATATGATGCATTAGGTAGGATGTACTACATTTTAAAAGGTTTGCACATGATTGAGAAAATGAAGCTGAAATGTTGTGCCCAAACAAACTGGCGACTCAAAGGCTCCAGTAAGGGAAACAAGTCCATGGTTGACTGCATCCACATCTTCAGGAACAGAACAAAACCACCTTCTTAATTTTAGCTGTCATCTGACTTGCAGCTCTGTGAAAAAGAGTAAAGGTTGGCACATACCTGGCACTTGTTTTAAACCTTAGCATAGACTTCTGAGAAATAATCCAAGGCAAATTGAATAGTCAGGAAGTTAGCATTGCCCTCCACCTCCCTTTTTTTCATGTTTGTCAGGAGAGGATTTTAGCTTTCAGCTCCAAGAAGGTTGGTCTGGCACATTGCTTGAGCATTAGACTCTTAGACAGTTCTCTTCATTCCCAGTAAACTGAAAAAAAAACCAACTCAAACCCCCCAAAAACCCAAACCACAAAATATCTCCTGAAGTTCAAAAGCATGCATAAAATCGTGCACCAGCACCCTGTCTCTTATAGTGAACTGATTATTATGAGCAAGCTGAAACTTGTAGAGCTAAGCACATGATCTTTTTAGTAGTTGTATCGGGTCTGGCTGAGCTGACTTTCCCATAGCAGCCTCCTGGTGCAGTGCTTTTGTGTTGGGAGTTAGAAGGGTGTTGGTAACACCCATATTGTGACTGCCCCTGAGCAGTGCTCACACAGCACCAAGGCTCTTTCTAACATTCCCCCCACCATGGGATGGGGGGGCAGGAGCTTGCAGGGAACATAACCAGGACAACTGACCCAAACTGACCAAAGGGATATTCCAGACCATATGGCATCAGCTCAACTATAAAGCTGGTACAAAGGAGGAGGAGGTGGGGGCTACTCCTCAGTCCTCTGGAGCAACTGCTACACGTTTTGGAGCCCTGCTTCCCAGGAAAGGCCAGACATCACGTGGGGATGGGAAGCAGAGAATAAATCTTTGGTTTTGCTCTTTGCTTCCACATGCAGCATTGCTTAACTTTTGCTTTCTAATTAAACTGCCCTTGGTTTTTTACCCACAAGGCTTCTATCTCTATCTTATTTTCCCTTCCACTTTTACTCTGTGGAGGAAGGAGAGGAAAGGGTGAGAGTGACAGAGCTGCTTGGTGGGCATCACTTGCTCAGCCAGGGTTAACCCACCACAGTAGTCCAATACCTAAGGACTCTCCCAAGCATGAGTATCCCAGAGCAGAGTGCAATATAAAGACCAATAATGATTTAGCTGTCAGATGCCAAAAAAAAAAAAAAGCTTAAAAATTTCTTTGAGCCAAAACAAGAACACACTTGCCACAAAAGATATGTGTCCGAATTAGTACAGTACAGGATCAGGCTTATGTGTGCTCTGCATCTTCAGCTTACTGGATCTTGTGTTAAATATGTCACTCATAGAAAATTCAATCTTTTCAAATCACAGGAAGGTAGGTGATGGGTATTTGAAGTTGCATGAGAAAAAAGGTACTTAAACACAGTACACATTACAAATGAGTGCTTTTACTCAAAGCTCAGTGTCACTGCTGCTTTGGCCATGTTTCAGAACACAGCAGCCACCTTGCCTGTAGTGCCCTGCCCGAGAAGCGTTTTCAGCAAGACCTGCTGAAACTTCCTCGGGTAGGTCAGGCATCTCAGGAACTGTTCTCAAGAGAGTGTTTTTGGATTTGGGTGCCTACTTTCTGCTGAAACTCACTGCAGGCACCTAAAATCTCATATAAATTGCCTATAAAGCACAGCTGAATTCTGAAGCAAAAGAGGTAAGCTAAAGAAAAATCACTAACAAGTTTCTATTCTTCCCTTGACATAAAGCTTATTGATGATTTTCCCATCAGTGCTTGTTCTGGTTAAGGGGAGAGGAACTTCTCCGGCTAGGCCAAAAGTATCATGAAAATGACTTGGCAGCCTGAAGACAACCTGTGACCAGGCAGAACGTGGGACATGGGCAGTGCTCTCCTGCACTCCCACAGGAAATCTGTCCTGCAGGTGCTTGCACAGCATGCTTTCCACCATGCACAGGCAGGCTTGACATCCTTGCAGAAGACAACTCAAAATGCATCTAGAGGAGGCACAGAACATCAACCTTTTGCCTGCTGAGTCAGTGATGAAAACACTTGTGCAGGAATTGAAGAGACCAGGGTTCTGTCTCTTCCTCCAAACTTTACAGCTTTTGAGTATGGGAGGACATGCATGGGAGGATACGAAAGTGTAGTATGTCTTCCAATAACCATGTTTTAAAAGAGAATGACAAGCCATTCTCAGTTCTCAATTAAAAAAAAAAAAACAACACTTATTCTCACACATGAGCCTCTTGGCAGTGAATTCAAGCTGACAGACCCCTTCAAAATGATGAGCAAAACCATGGCTAACATTTGCCCAAGCATCCTATTTGGCTCAGATATCATCTATAACTACCTCATTGCCTCACAGGCAAGCTGGCTGTCACCTCAGGTAGTGGTATTTTGGATTACATTTGGCCCTAGCTCTTCCTGGGCATCAGATAAAGAGCCTAAACGTCTACCTCAGGACTCTGGGTTCCTATGCAAAGGTGAGTACTTAAAGGTTTGATGCACTGCCCATGCTCCTAATTGGATCCAACCCTGTAATTTGTTCCATAATAGGATGACCCAGCAGGATTATTTACAGCACAGCATGAAAGCAAATGCCAAAGGAGTGACAATGCAGCAGTACAAAGTTGTTGTATTGATTGCATAAATTGCCTCATTCAACAGCCCTAGGCTGACTATGAATATTTCAGTGTGGTACCTCTCTTTGGTTTCACAACTAATGTGTTTCTTGAGTAAACAAGTAATGCCTGGGAAAGCTTTCTTCCCTTATAAACAAAATAATTATTTCCCAAAGAAAGCTCAGCATCAGTCAGTCAGAGACTTTAAAATGAACTGAGGCATAATGGAAGACTCTTATAAAAACACATCTTCAAAATAATTCTGTAATAGCCTGATGGGTTTATTCCACTGAATTTAAATGAGTGAATTTTTTTCAAAATATGCCACTAGCAAAAAAAAAAACCCCAAAAGGTTACTGAAAATCCTGGGATAATCAAAGAAAATGAAGTTTCAAAGTGGCAGTGCTCAGACAGCACTGGTTTTTTTTTTGTGCTACTACTCTGCCCAAACAACCAAGAACTTGACACCAGATTCCAGAAAAGCTGTGGCAAAGCGCCGCTGGATGCTTCAGCATGTTTCTCTATCACTATTACTTTTGTGTAATGGTGCCACATAGTTCTGAGAGTCAATTACCAGCAAGGACCTCATTCACAGGTTGTGACTGGGGATGAGAGAAGCAGGAGTCCACCCTAAGAGCACCCTGGAGGAGCAAGGTCTTGCCTAGTAATCAGGTAAGATGTGTGTAACGTGCCATCCATGTGTATCAGAACTGTGAGAGAGTCTCTGGCATCCCAGCAGATACCATGGGTGCTAAAACTACTCTTTGAGCTGAAGGTTATTGTTAGCAACCTGCTCTGCAAGGGGAGAGGAGAGGCTGTGCAGTCAGACACTGTTACATCGCGTGACCAAGTCACACATGCTGGAGATTCCTATCGGTAATGGGAAGACAATTTTTCTCTTAGACTTTCAAATTTTTTTATCTTCTTGGTAAAAATGTCAATATTACAGGCTCTTAGACCTCTCAGAACTTAAACACAGGTATTTGCATAGTCATATCAGCCTGGGCTATGCAACGTTCAGAACTACTGGATAGCATGACCATAGACAAAGTGTGATCTGGAGAAAATCATCAGGAGTGAAACATTTTAAATTAACTTCTGTTTAAGGCTTGATTTGTGAGAGATGCCGAGAGCCCAGATCATACCTTCTAATATTCAGAAACCAGCTTTGGAAAAACGTCTCCCTGCATCTGTCCACAGAATGGCATTGGCAATACATACAGAACATCTTAAAACTTTGGATCACGGGCATGCTATATAAATGCCAGCTGTTATCATGACCATGTCTGAAGCTGGCTTGACACTGTGTGCAGTGAACAGCAGACTACATCTTACAAAAAACCCTCAACTAACAAAGGCAACGTTCAACCTGTCAGGAAAAGACATACTAGCTTCTTGCCATCTAGAGGTGAAACACTAAAATCATCATGGTCTGGCAGCTAACTACATCACAGACTCCACTGTTTGGAGACCAAATTGCCTCAAAACCAGAAATGACATTAAACATGAACAGAATTTGGATTCCAAACTTTGCACAACTTACAGAATCTTTTCCAGTTTTATTTTAATGTTGAAGCTTTTTAAATTGTGAATGCTCCATTTTTTATAAGCAGTCCACTTGACAAGGCTTTGTTTGGTTCTTTTTCTATGAAGCATAACTGAAAGCTCTCTCTCTTTTTTTTTTTCATTCTTATTTTTTCTAGTTCCACACCATGCTTCTGCTAATTACCATTGATTGGGAAACAGCTTGCCAATTAGCCCTGAAAGGGTAATCATCAGTTTGATAGCATTGCATGTCATCCAAAGGGCAGGGAGAACTTACTGTTACTTTCAGACAATTAGCAAGGGGCTGGCAGAGCTCACAATTGCCTAAAAGCTAAATGTTTCAGAACTGCTGAGATAAATTATTAAATCAATTAAAACACATGATTGGGTGTTTTCAAGTACATTTAAAGCTAGCAAACAAGCTTTTAGCTGTCATGGAGTAGAATCAAAGTTTAGTGGAGGGAGAAAGTCTAGTGGGGTTTTTTGTTTGTGGGTTTATTTGGGTTTGGGTTTTCTTTAAGCTGTTTGTTCTGGTCTGCCATTAGCATCAGTTAAATATAACTAAAAGCTAGTATTGACTCAAAGCAAAGGCATTTGGTAAAGAATAAGAACTAAAATGACTTTCCTTCCAAAGTGGTTAACTTTTCTGAAAGGCAAAGAGGCTGTTATTGCTAATGGTATAATTGCAATGTTGACAATTGGCGGGCAGCAACTTTTCTCTTTTTTTACCTTCAGCTGTCCCTGCCACGTTGGGCAGAACCTTATCTATGGGCTAGCTTTCCTAGGAGTTCCTGCACTCATCCTTCTGGTGGTTGGTTATGCCCTGAATAACCAGACTTGGAGGCTGGTTACCGGCAAAGGGTCACCTCTTCAGAAAGAGGCTACACCCAGCCGGTTACTGCAGTGCAAGCTGATCTGCTTCGTCCTGTGCAGCATCACCGGGAGAGCCCTGGTCGCCCCAGTAACGTGGCTAGCAGTCACCCTGATAAATGGCTCATACTACGTCTGTGGCATGAGTGAGTACATCTCTATGGACTATTATGGAGCGCCTCCTAACGTCAGCGCTGGCGAGCGCAGAAGGCTGCTGGCGATATTCCCCTGCAGTCAGTTAGTCCCCCCAGAGCTGAGCCGAGCGAGGGATGAAGTGATTCTCCTGCTCCGGTACCAGTCACAAGTGAGTAGCTCACGTTGCTGCTGTTGCCTGTGGATCTGGTGATGAGAACTAGAGTTAACTCAGCAGGCAGAGCGTCAGGACACACCAGGAACAGTATCTTCTGCCTTGAGTGCCGCATCTCTGTGTATTTTGAAGCCTGCCTTGTTTCTGTAAATGGAATCGAACTTTAAGTACATAAATTATTGTTTGGTTAGCCTGTTTGTTACTTCCTACTTGAGGATATATTCCTCCTTGCGTAGTATCTTGAAAAGTACCATTAAGTAAGACAAATGCAGGTTCAGGAGCCAGAGAGGGTATGAAGTTTCTTCCTTCAGGCGTAAGAAGCATGTGACTACGGTGCCCAGGTGGCAAAGGCTCCACATGAACCAAATAAAAATATTTGGTCTAGCTCAGACTCAACTATAAAAGCTTACATCCTGGGTAAATAATAGGAGGGACATTTAAGTTGTCACTTCAGAGAAAACTGGTTTTAAACAGGGTATAAGCTAATACAGGCTACGAATTAGATGGCTTCCCTACTCATAGTAATAGCTGTGGAGGCAAAATCCTTAACAAATTATAAAATGGAACTTCCATAAACTGGACAGAAAGAAGCCACTTAAGTATGTGTCTGCCTCCTGTAGGCACGGACTGGGTTTGATGACAACAGACCCTTACCAAGCTTAGACTGTGTTAACCTTATTACTCAGGAAAAGCAAGTAAAGAGCACCTTACAGGTTTTTTGATGCTCAGAAGTTACCACTGAGTATGTTCAGCTGTAACAGTATTTTTTTTTCCTTTTCCTTTTCTTTTTCTTTGCAAGGTGGCTGGCTGGCTTCTAATTGCTGTGGTAGTCATCACTGTTTTCCTGTCTTACTGCCTGGCAAGCTGTTTCTCCCCACTCAGCTTCCTACATTTCAGGTACTGGAGCAACTATGTTCATAATGAGCAGGAGCTCTTTGATGAAGCGACAGACCAGCACTCCAGGCTTTATGCCATGCAGCACGTAAGGAAGTTCTTTGGCTTTGTCCCAGGGAGTGAAAACGTAAAGGAAATTCGTATCCCGTCTCTCAGAGAGTGGCAAGCTATTTCTGGGCTGGCCTTTCTAAAACGAGTGGATGAGGAGCACTATGACTACAGCCTCCTCCACGACTGGGCGCTCAAGGAGGCTGTAAATGGAAAATACCTCAAGACTGATGAAGACCCTGTGACTGGAACACAGCTCTGAGGGTCCAAGCCAACACCTTGCAGAAAAGCAGGAACTAGCTCCACCATCAGACCGGCTCTGCTCTGGAACTTTCTGATGCCTTACTTATAACATTGATATATGAAGTGAGTGAGTGCACCTTGTTAATGTAGTCCTCTAGCACATGGTTACAGATGCCTTTCCTGTGGGTTGTGATGGTCTACAACCACACTGGGATGGGCTGTTTCAGGCTTCAGCTCTCTGCTTTATAATACTTGTGCTCAAAGGATGAGTTACATACTGGAACAAAAAGTTATTTCCAAATGCTTTTTCTTTCCTCCAATTAAGAAAAAACTTTAAAAATTAATAGTTAGGCTTTGATTGTACCTATAGCTGGTCCATTCTGTGTGGAGCAAAAGCAGATACCCAACTTTGTCTTTGTCACCCCTAGCAGAAACGCCTTGTTTCTCCTCTTCCACACCTTTCTTGTATGATGTGAATAAAATACTGAGCTAATGACAAGCTAAGTCTGTGTCCACAGCCATGCAGAAGAAACATACGAGGAAACTTCAGCAACACAGGCGGAGTTTAGATACAGTGATGAGAGAACTTTTGATTCTGGTGAGGAGATAAAATGCCTACTGAGGGCACCGGTCAGAGGGGTGCAGATATGTGAGCAAACACTTCAGATGTGGAAATTTGAATCCAAATGTATTCTGGCTGAACGCAGCAGCAAGGTCAGCCTCCTATTCCTTTAGATGCACTTCAGAATCTCTCAGGTATTTGGGTGCTTGCCTACTGTATAAATAGCAAATGAGGGTGGGAAACAGATCTTGCTCTGTGCAGTGCAGTTTGCATGTGAAAAAGTTATAATTTAATCATCTGTTCCTGTACACATTACTGTGATTTAAAAACTACTGAATTTAGTGAGAGAAGGCTTAACACTGATTTTGTGTTAATGCAGTGTGGTGGGGTGTGATGTCACTGCACCTCCCCTAACTCCCTGTGTAGACCTTCCTAATCCTAAGGGGGGAAAAGTGTACCAGAGCTTTTCCTGATGCTTCCTGTATTGCCTTGCCACGGTGCTACAAAGCTGTATGTTAGACTATGGGATCTGCTGTTAATCAATGACCCCTGAGTACTGAGGTGGGAAAATATAATTTAATACCTATTACTACAAAATGTAGGAGCCAGAAGTAAGTTAAATTGCACTTCTTGATAAATGTGTTCAGTCTGGAAAAGTTAAAATTCCAGACAAAAGCAAGCACTTCAGCAAATGCAAGCAATGTATATGCTGAATAACTGTAGAACAATGCATATTTTATATCGCTAAAAAAATATTTACAAATTCCCATATATGTATTTAATCTGAATCTTAACTTTAATGGAACTGTAGTGATTACACAAACTGTTTAGGAAGTAAAATACCTATGTGAGTAAACACAATCTCTAATTTAACTTTTCAAGTCTTTGTGGTGTGTGGTTTTTGTTTTTTTTTTTAATTTAAGTAACATGGAACACTGTATAATCTGGAATACATGAAAAGGATTTGTGTGTCTGAAAGTTTTGGCAAGAAACTCCTATGATGGTGTCTGAATCCATATGAGAAAACACTAGTTGCCGTCTTTGTGCTATGTGGGTTCTTTTTGCATCTTCCCTTGTTTTACAGTACCACTACAAAATCAATGCAACTCTTGCAGTTAAAGTTGAGCTGTCAAATTCTCTTTACTTCATGCTAAACTAACTTCTGATTTTGTCCTAATTACTACTTGTTCCGTATTCTGTTTTTACAGTTTATAATTATAGTTTAAAAATATTGAAAGTACTAGCTGTATCTGTCATTGTGAAGTCATCCTGCCAACGTACAAATAGACTATCACACTGTTAGCAGCTACTAACCCATACTACTAAATACAGCTGTGGTACTATAGGTGATAACACATTTCTCTTCACCCCTCTGCTCCCTGAAGCACATCATGAACTGGTAGCGGAGGCACAGCTTTAAAAAGAATCTATGATTACAGAAAAAAAATCAATGAGTTTGTACTGAACAGTTGAACTGTGCCTGCTAAAATGTGTGTCATCTTACCCAAAATCAATTTTGGATTGCAGTTTGCTCACTTGAAGTGAAAATTATTTTTATGTCCACAGTAAGTTTTCTGGAAACTCTGGACTTGCAAAATGCACCTGAGGGAAAAGCACTGGCCACACACCCAGGAGACTGATGCGCCTTAAAACTAGTGTTTGTACCAGGACCCGTTAGGGTCTGCTGCTGTTTAACCCTCTGCAAGCCAAAATTCATGCTTGCAGGTAACCCCAAAGTAGGGGAGCTCCCAATATTAGTCTGGAGGCTAACAACTGCTCTACATTTATATCGACCTGGGAATTCAGAAATCACCCTAAACGCTTCCTGGGCAGTCTGCAGGGTCTTTTTAAATCCCGCCTCTACCACCAAGTGATTTTTCTAGCTCCACCAAACGAACTTCCTATTTCAGGCTGAAGGGGCACGCAGCTGCCTCCGCGGCAGCCTTACGCTATTCCTACAGCAACAGTTTCGGGTCCCCTTCAGTTCGCTCGCCCCTCTATCTTTCCCACGCGGGGTGCGGGTGGTGACGACCGGGTTTTTCCACCAGGGCGGGCTCTCGCCCCGCCCGCAGAGCTGACGGAGCGCGGGGAGCAGGAGCCACCGCAACCCTTGACAACAGAG